TTATAGCACAAAAAAATTACGAGTAAAAAATTTGCAAATGTGCTTGACTCGGATGAGTTTCCTGGGCTACCCAATAGATGGAGCCACTGAACTTGTTGCCAAACTTAAAATGGCGAATAGGGGCCTGGATGGCGGATAGCTGCTTACCGAGCCAGGCGCAATTGAAGCCACCTGAACTTTGATGCTCGTGCCGGAAGTCGAGCGTCCGCTGGGCTTCCCAGATCATCGAGTCGAATGTTTGAGCCATGAGTTCTTGTGTTTTAGAGTGGGTTTTATTAAACCCGTTTTCATTAAAGACCGAAAATAAGTCATTTAAACGTGGAACATATATATACACTTGATGAACTAGAATTTAAAAATTTTGACATCGAATGGCTTCCCCGGATACTTCTCGAACCTGCATGCGCTCTTACTGCGCAATATACCGGCTCTCTTGAGATGACATGAAGGAATCCAGCACCCTGGACGCTGTTCGAACAGGCACTTGGAAGAGCGGCATGCCACTTTCGGGACATGCCACTCACTTCCGAAGGCTTTATACCTGCTTGCTTATTGCGGCATCGAGCCCTCCAGTGGACAACAGTGGTCGTGAGTCGACAAAAGAAAAAAAAAACGGCTCTAGTAAAAAACAAATTTCCCATTAGACAAAGGGCATAAAATGAATGCCGGGATGGTCTTTGTCAAAGGGCGTATTTAAGAAAATATTACCTTCTACATAATCGGGGTAAAACTACTGCAGGTAATAACGTATCAATTATTAAATCTAAAGGTTAGCTTAATTGCAAACTACCTTGACATCATCGAGAGCCACTACATCATTTTGCTTGCGAAAACTACGAGAGACGTTATGCACATCGTTCTGAGGTTTTCTAACATCGTCTGAAACATCGTCTAAGTAGTTATGTTCTTCAGACCATTGTTACAATGATAATTCAAATCAAACTTTTCCCACAAAATAAAATCAGCGAAGTACTTTTTATGTTATTTTTGTCGACCTATTTTCTATGTGTTTTTGTTATATGCTGACACCAAAGAATCATCAAGCAAGATGGATTTATATTAGACCGAGCACTAGAAAAAGCGGTGCTCTTCTGAGCAAAGCTGTGCTTTAAGTGTCTTTTGTAGCTTCCAACTTGTTCGGCAGTTGCTTTAACGTTCTAATACAAACAAATCGGAAGGCGCAAAAAACGCAAGTGAAGCTTTTCGGCTCAGAAAATCTAGCTCATTTTGTTTTAGTGTGGCAGGATTTACACCAATTAGAATTTGTTAATTGTTCTGTGGTTTAACTTAGTATATTTTCTTCCGCATTGTTACCAGTGATCGGAGGGACTGATAAATTGATCTGCCATGCTCAAGCATATACGTATATGTACAAATTCAGTGTTTCTAGCTTCAGTGATCTACATCAAATAAATCGGTTTTTCTTTATTCGTGGTTTCTTAAAGTTTAACCAACAGAGTGTCATTTGTGTTGTTCTTTGTTTAGTTATTATTTCACGTTTACTAGACAACTAATAAGTTATCGATATCGGTTTGAAAGCTAGACATTTTAGGTTCAAGAAGAAAGTTTCTTGAATTTCAAAAACAATGAAGGCAATAAATAATTAATTGAATTGAAATGAATTGAATCTCCACATTTTATTTTCAGGTTAGGCTATTTTTTTCTAACAGTGGAGCAATTTTCTATCTGCTGATTCTAAATAGTGTTGTAACCATTACCGAAACGCAAATGAGTAATATACTCCAGGCTAAAAGGTTAGAAACTTAGTTATTTGATTACTAGACCCCAATAACATTTGGATAGAACAGCAAAAAGGAACTGTAGCTTTAATACTGCTTTAGGACACTCATTTATTTTAGCTTTGTTTTTGAATATGATTGAACTTTTTTTTGTGCAATGTTGTAAAGAAACGAATCAAGGAAGTACACGTGGCAGAGTACGTCGTATAAACTGTAGTTCTCCCGGAAAGAATCAAATAAACTGAAATGGACGAGGGACAGATACCCACAGTTCTTTCAAAGAGTAACAACACATTGATGTGATGGCCATCACATTACGAAAACCTATAGGGTCACAAAGAAATTAAAGGCAGGCAAAAATACTGGAAAAACATACCAAAAAAGATGAAGAAAACTGAATTTATCTCCCCGTAAAAAAAAAGAAAGAGAAACAAATTTAAGAAGATTTTTCCATAATAACTCTGGTGCTAGGAATTTTAACTATTTTATCAATAATGAAAACAAAGGTTCTGAGACATTCCTGATCGTAAATACTTCAATTTGTTCTCGCCCATACTTGTCCTTGTGTGAGCCAAGCACTGTGTTGCTTTCATAACTAGAGATGCTATCATAGCAGGTGCGTGCGTGCACAACCATTCGATGGTAATCTCTCATCAGCAATCGTCCAACGTCTGCATGGCCGACTGCTCCAAGCACGGTACCCAGCAGGCCTCCGTACTACCCTTAAGCGTCACATCACAGCCCCCGAACGCCCTTCATCTAACAACAAATGACACGGACTCACACGCCCAGCCTGCATTCCATACGTGCATAACACCGCCCATCCCCTGAAGAGTCTAGCTGGACTGTTCGAAACGAAGATGGTCTTCCCATGAAGGATGAAATTAAAACCAATGTTCCAGAGGGTGAATAACAAACGTCGTCACCAGAATGCACCATCAAGTATTCCAACAAATATGTTAAATGCCAACAAAAGCCAATTTTTTTTATTCCGCTGTGTTGCGACACCATATACATCGGCCAGACGGGACGTTACTTGAACGTTCGCCTTAGGGAGCACTTTCTAAACGTCAAGCAGGCGTCATCTGACACTTACCATCCAATTGTTGTTCATGGCCCCACCTTCCTTGATTTCACCCCTAGCTATGAAAACACTACAGTACTTTGCTCACACAAGGACAAGTATGGGCAAGAAGTGATTGAGGCATTTGAAATCAAGTATGCCACGCACAATGTTTCAGAACCTTCGTAGTCGTTACCAACAAAAGAGCTGGAATTCCAAGTGCCCGTGTTATCATAGAAAAGGCCTCCTTCAATTCTCGTCTGTTTAATATTATTTTTTTAGGGAGATAAATTCAACTTTATTTATCGTCTTCTAGTATATATTTCTAGTGTTTTCGTCGTCCTTGTATTCCTCTGTGACCAATGAGGTTTTCCTAATGCGATGGGCATGATATCAATGTGTCTTTGCTCGTTGAAAGAATTGTGGGTGTCTGTAACCTCGTCCATTTGAGTGTATTTTTATTCTTTCTGTGTGAACTAAAATCAAGGAAAATTGGGCTTTGGTCAAATTGAAAATTCGTCTGATCAACGCCAGTTTTGACGCCCTACATAACGGCGCCATTTAGCGAGCGTGCTAGCTAAACTACACGTGGCAACCAGAAATGAGTTGGTGTATCGCTGTATTACCCTTCCCGAGGAATTTAATGCGTGTGCTAGTATGGTCCACTTATTTATATATTTTATAATGCGCGCTTTACAGAAGTGTATTCTCTTGCTTTCGGTTACCGGAGACAGTGGCCTTGGGGTTTTCTCGTTGCTAGTCCATGCTACTCATACATTAGCGCTGTTTTATTTATGTATTATTTTTACTAGAAGCCTAAAAATATCAAATTGCTTGAGTTCTGATCAGAAATTAAAATGCCATGCATTCAGAATCAGTTTGCGAGCTGAAGGAGGGCCGGTGACTACTTCCGCGTCTCACGCTATCGTACAACAAAGCGGTGCTCTTGTGTAGGGGCCTCGTGCCTACACATCGCAAGCCTGGACACTTCTTTTGATAATGGATTCTAATCGATAAACGACACAATCAACACTGTCAACAGGCTTCAGGAAGGTACGGGGTAGCCACCATTTATGTGGTTGGGTAAAGTAAAATTTATTTTAAAAAAGAAAACTGATCGATTGATCGAATATTGATATATTAACGATTGTTTCTGTGGAACCCAGGGATTTAGGTACCCTTAATAAGAAATAACAAAAAAGTTTGAACAGCTCTAAAACATAATGCCTGATAGCGATAAAGTGCTGGCAAATTTTCGAGTGGCCGCAATAATTTAATATCTCAGGAAAGCAGGAGGATATCTAAGCTGGTAAGCAAAACTCCTGTATGTGTAGGGTAAAAGATGAGGAAATGAGGGAGGATTACAGATGGCACTGAATCCGTTCAGGCCGCAGTGGAGCACAAGTCGTGACGGGGATATATTGCTAACAAAACCCTTTGTTATGCAACCCTTGTTCGTGAAAATTCATTTTGCCCTTGTGGTAATTGTTTCTGTTTACGCCCTATTCCTTGTGTCCCAAAAATACATTAATTTTATGATGAGTCATACGTATATATGTTTTCCGAATTCACTTGGTGTTAGTTATCAAAAGGGTGGACGTTTTGTGTCTTTCGTTTTTTTTCAGCGACTTTCATTCCTTTTTGATAATCTAGGCTTGAAGTATGGTTTAAAACCCGCTGATTAAGCCAAAGTTTTTCTTTGGATGTGACAGAAAGGCTACAAATCTTAGGTTGTGGACATATGGTATGCCTCCACTTGGATCTATGTAATTTCGCTTGATTCTCCTCACTGCTCCTGGCTGGGCAGTTTCTCAGATGCAATTTCCATTTGATTACTATTCTGGTGATTACTTTCTCATCCTACGAATATACAACACACGCTTTCCTAACGCCCAAAACTTCGATGTCAAAAATACTTTCGTAGCCCATGATGCTAATAAAGAGAGACAGTATGATAAATTAGTAAGGTTTACTGGTTAATAAAATACTTTCAAAATGATCAAATGACTAGTGCAACTGTGTCGTTATAAAAGTAAACAATCAATTAAAACGCTACCCAATCCTGGTTTGAAAATAGATTACATAACTTATTTTAACAACACTGATTTATTCTAAGAATCGAGCTTATATTCCGCCTGAATGTTTGATAAAGTTCAAGATCGGCATCTGCTACTTGCCCGACGAAAATGCTCACTTACCCAATAGTATGCTGGAGACAGTCAAAACTGCTAAGTCCCGCCAAATCATTTTTTCCGACTGTTGGGAGACAGCATTCGCCCTCCCTTCATTAAAGTCGCTCCAGACATAAGCAGGCAGATGTACTCTGGAATCTGCTTTGTTACCAGTTCCCCAGTGTTATGTGCAATTCGTAAAAAAAATTACAAGGTTTTTGTTGTTGCTGTTGTTTTTTACTGTAAAAATAAACGACAGATTCTCGAATGCTGAGCCCCCAACCAATTGAATCACTAGCAATATGAAACTGATGCCAAAGTTTAAGAATTAGCCCGAATCTTATTTAGAATGTTATGTGATTTTCTGAAAATTTTACAAAAAAAACGGGACCCGTTCTATTTTTTTTTTTTTGCAAGTTGCGCCATTTAGTTTTATATATTGGAGGCCTACGTCGGCTGCCATTTTGACAATTAATGTACAAGAAAATGACTTACAGCTTTTTAATATGGTAATGATCAATCGTGAAAGTTTGGAATTTAAATCGGACAATTAGCGCTTTATTTTGCGGAGAATCAAAGTTCGATGATGCGTACATTGTTTTTGGGGGAAACATTTTTTTTTTTTTAAAGTGGAAACGGAAGCACGCAAACTATGCAGACGGCAGAATCTATATGAACTTTCTTTAGCTGTAAGAGGAAAAAAAGCCTCAATCTTTATCTATTATTCTCAACCAAAACACAAAATCTACAATCCGCTACGTGTAATAGTGCCGGAAGATTAAATCTGGCAAACATCGCAGGCGGTAATTTAACAAACAAAATTGAACGTATTATACTGACAATTCCTTTCGGGCAAAAAAGCCTTGAAGAGAAGTAGACTTTCTTCAACGATGTTCGGACCAAAGCTTTGTTGCCTGTACACTTTGACATTAATATTCTTTACTGCTCCATTCCGCACTCGGTGCTTTTAGCATGTGTTAAACATTGTATTGACGGCTAGGGATACGTAGCTTTTCAAGGTTAGTGCTGACTAACCATAAGCCATTTCTTAGAGCTTTTAACCTTTTACATAAAATTGACGTTTTTTTCACTTGGAAAAAGGAGTCTCATTTAGATGAACTGCATGTGTACCGGTTCCTGATTAGCTCCCGTGTTAAGCAAAATCTACCTCGCATTTTATGACAGACATTTATCTAAGAAACGTGAAGCTTAAAGGTAAATAAAGAAGATAATTAGGTTTGTATATGACTTCTTTGTGCTTCTAGAGTGTGACTCAGAGCGTTTTGACGATGAAATTTCTGGTTTTCTCGAAACATTTAGGGAATGCTTCGTCCCGGTCATTCTCATCAACGAATTACCGGTAAACGGTTCTGTACGTTTTCGATACCTCAGTCTCCACTGCCACCCGTCACGCATGTGCTGGCTATTTGAGCCTAGAGCCTCAAATAGCCAGCACCTTTCCTACCCTTTTCATCAGCACATTCTAAGCTGGTGAAAAAAAAATAACATCAACATTGGTTTGAAAAATGCTATACTAGTCTGCTTCCACTTGCTCAATGACAGCTTTAAAAATCAAGTTTTTAGACTCATGGACCAAGACTACGCATCGCACCTTCTAACTGCGGTCTAAGAAACTCTACAGAAGAGAAGACGCATCGAGAGCAATAAAGATGCTAACATAAAAAAAAACGAGTATCACGGTATTACTGTACCCACAGAAGGTTTGCCATAATCTGAATAAAGTGGGACGACGAATCGGTGTTCGTGTGGTCTTATCGGCTCTTCAAAAAATATTCTAGGATGTGCAAAATGTGAATTCTGACGTTAGAGAAAAATAAGTATCCACTGAGAAGAACTAAAACCAGATTGTGACATGAACTGTGGAAGTGGTGTTTTTTATCCCCCATCGTGCCGCCGTAAATAAATAGGGCAGACAAAACGTTGTTTTAATGAGCGGTTAAGATACGTATAATGTGTCGCAGCTTGTGCGGGGGCATCATGGTGTACACTGCCCCGACTGCGGATGTGCACCAGCCTTTGAAGCATGCACCGTCATCAGTTGGCAAAGGAACACGCTCAAGTGGAAGATTATAGAAGCGCACGCTATCGGACAAGCAGGGCCAGAATGGGTCAGTGCGCCGTCACTTGACGTCTCGTCAAAGGAGAGCACGGCCCTTTGTAGATCGGAGAGCAGCTGAGCGCGCAGATGACTCTAGGAACACGTCTCGTTTTTATTGAGTGTTGTCTTCCGTCTTCGGTTTTGCTCCGGGCAAATTTTGTATTTATACGCGTTGTCACATCCAATCAACCTCAGTTGTATGTTAGCGCAGTGTTTGTGTTCTGTCTTCTACTATGTCCAAATCCCTGCGCTGTTTCTCCGTTAAACTATATGTAACGAAGGTAAACAAATGAATACTGAGTCATATGCGCACGCCATTTTGTATGTTATTATAAATTTTCTTTTACTGTTGCGTCGCAATTAAATAAAGAAAATATTATTTTGGTATTTGAGGACAAAGAATGCTTTGTACCTACGATAAAAAAAAATTTAGAGTTACTCATTTCAAGGAGGAAATAGCGCCTACTGCCAAAACAATTCGGAATCTACCCTATCAAAAAAAAAACCATCAGGAAAACTCCTGATTGTCCACCAGGCTGATGATCTGACGTGTTTCGGGACATTGATGGTTTGTTGGTGTGATGTTTCGATGGTGTGATGGTTTGATGGCGTGATGGTCTGTCGTATTTTGGACATCTGACGGCTTAATGGTTCGATGGCCTGGTGGTCGGTATGTATTTCTAATCACACATATGTACCGGCAGAAAACAAAGATTCCATTACGGTCAATTGTGAAATTTATTCTGAGCCCCTTATAATTTCAAAGAGGAACGTCCGAAGTGTTCGAGTACCTTCCGAAGTCCACGTAGAAACCTGGAAAAAAACGTTTGTATTTATCTTATGGCATGTTATTATTTTCTTTTTGGCGTCGGGTGACAGCGTGAACACACTAAGCCTTGTCGGCCCGAGAAGGCAGTAAGCCTCATATTACCGGATTCGCGGCTTTGCAAACGTATTTCCTCGCAAACTTTTTTTCACAGTGCACGTACGCCTAATAAATGAATTTTCTATCAAGCAAAGTGCGTTTTCCGGTACATTCTCTGCCACTTAGAGTGTACACATGATCTACTTGACATACAAATGTGATCATCAAATTGTTTCACCAACGGAAAATACGACAATTTAAAACAAAACTGTGGTTTCAAAAACATACCTGAGTCTATAGGTATGTTTTTTTCTTCGGTACTTTTCGAGTATTTTAGCACATTTGCTGAGGCGAATTTTAACAGATTGAACACCATGTTTTGAAGCCACGCCGGTGTCAGCTTTACCCACGGAATGTAATTCACGCATGTGCGACGACGTAAGATCATTGGCGCCTTCTCTCGGCCGGTGCTGGAACCTCCCGAATATAGTCCGGTTTTTCCCACCACCGCACGATGTCATGAGAAGCACCATCAGCCATTTTGCGTTCTGATAGTCTGTCGAGATGTCCTGATGGTTTCACTCGGGCAACATCAAAACGTTTCGATGGTACTTCAGTCGCCACAAAAAATATGTTGAAGGTCTTTGAGCTACAAACAGAAGCCTTTTTTGGTCCAACAGACACCATCAACAAAGCTTGCCGGACCATCGACATTTAATTCTGATGGTATGAGCGCAATTTCAAATATCGTGTTAATTATATATATATATATATATATATTTATATTATGTTATTTGTAATTGCGCTCACACCACTGATCTCTATTGCAGTAGGCTGGATCGCGGATCGGGAGCCCGTCGTTGTCGTCACCGGCGGCCATTGCTTGACACCGGGCAATACACGCAAGTCTACGGGACAAATGCACAAAACTAAGAATATTGAAGCATGTAAGCTGTGCTCGGAGGCGAATATTTTATGGCGTGCTGCGATCCTTATGTTGGGTGTTTGGAAATCAATCGGTCCTCTGTAAAACGTTCGAACGCCAATTAAAAAAATCAAGCGTGCCGGAGCACCTACGGCTGAGCTGGCAAGCTTGCTCTCGTAGTGGAGTAATCAAGGGATCTTGCCGTCAATGAGACCGTCCTCGGGGAAGCCAAGAAGTTGATGAATGACAAAAAAGTTTAATCGCGGCAGCGGCTTTCCTGGAGTGAGCGAATTCCGCGTAGCAAAGCCTTCGAGCTTGTCGTCTGCTAAACCCAACTCAATGAAACCGCCACCGACTCCGCGGTAAGCCTAGGTAACTCTCGTCTTCTTGGGCTGCTCTACATTTTTCGCCAAGCGGAGTCACTTTCGACCACGGGATATTTATCTATTAAAACGGCGGGTGCTGTCAGTTTTAATGTTTGTACGCAAGCTATTTGACGGTACTTTCGAAAAGCAACCAAAAAGTGTATATATATATCTATATATAGAGAAAGAAAAACGAAGCGCAGGATGACGAAAAGTGTATACGGAAGAAAACGCACCTGAGACGGTTGTTGGAGTTTTTAAAACATATTATTGGTAAAGTTGGTCGACGTTTTGGCCTGAGACAGACCTTTTTCAAGAAAGGTCTGTCTCAGGCCGAAATTTATATATATATATATATATATATATATATATATATATATATATATATATATGTGAGCCAGAGTAGTTTCAGAACAATGGACCGGGAAAATGCAATAAGTACTTGCGAAGTTGCTATGCAGGGGTTTATTGTATGTATTACGACAGTTTCGCCGAGAGGCTCGGCTTCGTCAGGACGTGGCATACATGTGGTTGATTTAAACCTGTGTGCGATCGAGTCAAGAGGAATATACACCCGCTCAGCACCCCTGCAGCCACGCGCGCCCACGACTGATGAAATACTGTTGTCGCATATAAAAGCCGCTGTAGAATATAATTCGTGGAAATACCAGACTATACCCTCTCAAAGTGCTTTGATGGGACAAAGCACTTTTGATTGTTTATCGTCTGATGGTCTGACGGGCCATAAGGTGCCGTTATGAGCTTCTGGCAGATCGTCACACGCTTCTGATGGTCCACCAGA